TTGTTTCTTAATTTTCCATTTTTAAATATTTTTAATATTATTTTTTAATATTATTTTAATATTATTCTTAAAAAATACAAAAAATATTCTAAAAAGGAAAAGACTCTTCTGTTGCTGTGTGCTCTCATTTGCTGTCTCCTGCCTGTGTTTGGTCCACATCAGGGCCATTTTTTGGTTCAGTTTCCATTTTTGAATATTTTTTAATATTATTTTTAATATTATTTTAATATTATTCTTAAAAAATACAAAAAATATTTTAAAAAAGAAAAGACTCTTCTGTTGCTGTGTGCTCTCATTTGCTGTCTCCTGCCTGTGTTAGCTCTACATCAGGGCCATTTTTTGGTTCAGTTTCCATTTTTGAATATTTTTTAATATTATTTTTTAAATATTATTCTTAAAAAATACAAAAAATATTCTAAAAAAGAAAAGACTCTTCTGTTGCTGTGTGCTCTCATTTGCTGTCTCCTGCCTGTGTTAGCTCTACATCAGGGACATTTTTTGGTTCAGTTTCCATTTTTGAATATTTTTTAATATTATTTTTTAAATATTATTCTTAAAAAATACAAAAAATATTCTAAAAAAGAAAAGACTCTTCTGTTGCTGTGTGCTCTCATTTGCTGTCTCCTGCCTGTGTTAGCTCTACATCAGGGCCAGTTTTTGGTTAATTCCATTTCTGAATATTTTCTAAAAATACCTGCCTTTTATTCTTAAAAAATACAAAAAATATTCTAAAAAATAAAAAGACTCTTCTGTTGGTGTGTGCTCTCATTTGCCCTGTCTCGTGGCTGTGTTTGCTTCATATCAGGGCCAGTTTTTGGTTAATTTTCCATTTCTGAATATTTTCTAAAAATACCTGCCTTTTATTCTTAAAAAATACAAAATATATTCTAAAAAAATAAAAGAGTCTTCGGTGGCTGTGTGTGCGTTTGTCATTTGTGTAGTTCCAACCAGTGCGCTCCTTTTGCCAACACAAAGTGCTACATACATACACTGCTCGCTCATCATTTGTGTAGTTCCAACCAGTGCGCTCCTTTTGCCAACCCAAAATACTTAATAACGAAGTTTTAATAACGAAGTTTTAATAACGAAGTTTCGGAAGTCGCGTTTGCGCATGCGCAAACGCGTCCGGCGCTTTAACGAATCGATTCGTTATTATCTTAACGAATCGACCCCGCGCCAATAACGAAGCTTCGGAAGTGTTTTTACGCATGCGCGGGGGTCCGCCATCTTTACAAAATGTTTTGTAAATATTTACGAAATTTCGTAAATACCGAAACTTTTTTTGGGAAAATTTTGTAATTATTTTAAATATCGAAACAAAAAAACACCCCAATTACAAATCGATTTTAGAACCAAATTTTTTCTTGATCAACCAGGCCTACTGCTTCATTTGGAAAAAATGCTGCACTTGCAGAGCTCAGGCGGTGTTGTATCTCAGTGTCAGTGTTGACTTTTGTGGAGAGGTGGCTGCCAAGGTAGTGGAAATGATAAACAGTTTCTAATGTTACACCATATATCTGTATGCCTCCTTACAACAAAATCAGAGAATCATAGTGCTGAGAGTGGACTCCCACCCAGTCCACTCCCAGCACCTCACTCCATCCAGGACCATCGGGTAGAGCAGTGGTTCTCAACCTTTCTGATGCCGCGACCCCTTAATACAGTTCTATATGTTGTGCTGACCCCCAACCATGAAATTATTTTTTGTTGCTACTTCATAACTGCAATTTTGTTACTGTTAGGAATCATCATGTAAATAACTGATATGTAAGATGTATTTTAATTCAGTGGATCAAATTTGGCACAAATACCCGATACGCCCACATTTGAATACTGGTGGAGTGGGATGAGGGGATTGATTTTGTCACTTCGGAGTTGTAGTTGGTGGGATTTATAGTTCACCTACAATCAAAGAGCATTCTGAACTTCACCAGGAATGGAACTGAACCAAACTTGGCACACAGTACTCCCATGCCAAACAGAAAATATTGGAAGGGTTTGGTGGGCATTGACCTTGAGTTTTGAAGTTGTAGTTCACCTACATCCAGAGAGCACTGTGGACTCAAACAATGATTGATCTGGACCAAACTTCGCACGAATACTCAATATGTCCAAATGTGAACACTATTGGAGTTTGGGAAATTTAAAGCTTTGTATTTGGGAGTTGTAGTTGCTGAGATTTATAGTTCACCTACAATCAAAGAATCCCTTGAACCCCACCAACGATAGAGTTGGTCCAAACTTACAACACAGAACCCCCATGACCAACAGAATGTACTGGAGGGATTTGGGATGAATTGACAGTGATTGACAGACCCACCTTTCTGACGGGTCTTTGGTGACCCCTCTGACACCACCTCGCGACCCCCCCCCAGGGGTCCCGACCCCCAGGTTGAGAAACGCTGAGGTAGAGCATCCTCAGCAGGGAGCTGTCCAGCCTCTTTTTGAAGCCATTCGGAGAAGGAGGTCCCACCAACTCCATAAGCCATTGGTTCCATTGCCAAACTGTTCTCACTGTCAAGGAGTTCTAACTATTGTTCGGTCGAAATGCATCTTCCCTTAACTTAAAACCATTAGGCCTGTTCTTGCCCTCTGGGGCAGCAGAGAACAAATCTGCCTCCTCTTGTATGTAATGAATGAAATCCATGAAACCACAAATGCGAGATGAATTATTAGATAAACAATCGACAATACCATAAAGTTGCCAAGAAGACATTTAAAAGCACAGTGGAGACAAAAGGTTCTGCCTGGAGCCTCAAAGAAAGAAATGCCAGCACCCTGGGAGAGAATTCCGGGGGAAGGACTTCTCCAAAGAATGCAAAAAAGCAAAGGAAAACAAAACAAAACCTTCTTGCCAAGTCTCCACAATTGCTTTGCATTGGACATGGAAGGTACCCATGAAAGGGCATCAGCAGGTCACATAAAAGTGGATCCTGTTTCTCACCCATTTCCAAGCCACACACAGCCTCTTGGCATAATCCATGTGGGTTACACACAACAGCTCCCATTATCTTCAACTACAAGCCATGCTGGTTGGGGAGAGTTGTAGTTCTTGTGCAGCACTTATGGAGGACAACCGATTGAGAGAGGCTGCAAAGTGATAAATGACACACACACACTTCTGTTTTTGTTACATTGAGAGGTTGCTTTCTGCACAACAGTCCTGGGAGGTAGGCCAGGTTGAGAAAAAAGTAACCGGCCCTCAATCAACCAATGAGTTTTACAATGGGGACTTTGACATTGATTAGTGCAAGGGGCATAATACCAGTTTAAAAAGCATACGCATGCAAAACAATCCATAATTTTAAAAGTCATTATTCAAAAACTATCTGGTTAGGCCTGCCGGAAGAGATTGGGGTTTAATCCTGTTTTAAAGGCAGACAGAGTATCTAATTGTTGGAGCTTTTCCAGCAGGTCATTCCATAATTTGGGGGCAGCTAATGAAAAAAAATTTCTGGTTAATAATTCACAACTTGTTCTTGGCTAATTGTTGTAAATTGCCACCAGAAGTCCCATGCATCTGGAGTAGATTATACCAGAGAAAGTAATCCTGTAGCTAATCTAAATCTTGTAGGACTTCTAAAGGCAACAACAAGCATATTGTACATTGCCCATTTCCACTCCCTTAGCAGCCACCTCTCCACCAAAGACAACACTGACACTGAAATACAACATCGCCTGAGCTCTGCAAGTGCAGCATTTTCCCAAATGAAGCAGAGAGTGTTTCAGCATTAGAACATTTGTAGGGAGACCAAGATGTTTGTTTGTAAAGCTTTTGTCCTCCTGACCCTGTTATATGTGTGCAAAACATGGACTGTCTACAGATGTCAGACTCAACTTCTGGAAAGATTCCTACAGCAATGCCTCTGAAAAATTCTGCAAATTTCTTGGGAAGACAGGCAGACAAATGTCAGTGTGCTGGAAGAAGCAAAGACCACCAGTACTAAAGTGATGCTCCTACACCAACAACTCTGCTGGACTGGCCACGTTGTCTGAATGCCCAATCACCATCTCCCAAAGCAGTTACTATACTCCAACTCAAGAATGGAAAACAGAATATTGGCGGACAGGAAAAGAGATTGAAAAATGGGCTTAAAACTAACCTTAAAAACTGTGGCATAGACACCAAGAACTGAGAGCCCTGGCCCTTGAGTGCTCTAACTGAAGGTCAGCTGTGACCAGCAGTGCTGCGGAATTAGGAGAACACCAATGAAGGGTGAAAGGGAGAAATGGGCCAAGAGGAAGGCGTGTCAAGCCAACCCTGACCAGGACCGCCTTCCACCTGGAAACCAATGTTCTCACTGTGGAAGAACATGCGGGACAAGAATAGGGTTCCACAGTCACCTATGTACCCATCACCAAGACACTACACTTGGGAGGCCATCATACTCAGACAATGAGGGATTGCCTAGATAAATAAGTAAAAGTGGAGCCCCCAGTGACGCAATGGGTTAAACCCTTGTGATGGCAGGACTGAAGACCGACAGGTCAGAGGTTCGAATCCCAGGAGAGTGTGGATGAGCTCCCTCTATCAGCTCCAGCTCCCCATGCAGGGACATAAGAGAAGCCTCCAATAGGATGGTAAAGCATCAAAAACATCCGTGTGTCTCCTGGGCAACATCCTTGCAGACGGTTAATTCTCTCACACCAGAAGCGACTTGCAGTTTCTCAAGTTGCCCCTGACATGAAAAATAGTTATTATTGTCATATTGAAAGCATTGCATAAATTAGTATAAAACTGATAAAAATAGAAGGAGTGCAGGCAGCTAAATATCTTTTGACCAAAAAACGGGCAACAGCAACAGCATTGTCTGTAGCCTCCAACAATTCTTCCTCGGTACATAAGGCAGGACATAGTGGACAAGCATACAGATGCAAAGTTGTAAAAAAAAGTAAATGAAAGTGAGTAAAAGTACATTGCCTAGTAAATCCCTTAATGGCCAAAGAGACCCTAAGGAGATCCCATCCTCACCAACGTTCCCATTCTGCTTGGTACTCACATTAGGTCCGGCCTGTGGCGGTGCAGAATGGCACAGAAGGCCAAGCCATCTCGGAAAGAGGTGGTCATGTTGGTGATATTGACATCCTTGTACCCTTGGCACTGCTGTTTGCACCACTGCTGGAGGGCTTGGATGGCTGCCATCTTGGCTTGGCTTGGCTTGACCAATGAGCAGAGTTGGGTCAAAAAATAGGAAATCAACTGTGGAAGGATGTTTATGGGAGATGAAACGGAATGGATAATAGCCCCTGAAAGAGGACTGAGGTTGGTGAAGTTGATTGAGAATGCTGGAGAGAACTTTAGAAGAGACAATGTCTAAACTTCTGGCCTCCTGGAATAGAGTGACAGTGAAGAAGTTGGTGATCTCCCAAAGCCTTCCTAGAAGTCTAATATTGACTACAAAGCCAAAGTATGTTGTCTTTACCGTTTCCAAACTCTCTCCTGTATCCTCCAGCTTTTCCCAGTCTTTGGGCTACTGAAAGAGGAGTGGGGTTGATGGAGAATGCTGGAGAGATCTTTAGAGGAGACAATGCCTAAACTTCTGGTCTCCAGGAATGGAGTGACTGTGAAGAAGTTAGTGATCTCCCAAAGCCTTCCTAGAAGTCTAGTATTGACTACGAAGCTGTTTCCAAACTCTCTCTTGAGTCCTCCAGCTTGAGGTTGGTGAAGTTGATGGAGAATGCTGGAGAGCTCTTTAGTGGAGACAATGCCTAAACTTCTGGTCTCCTGGAATGGAGTGACAATCTTCCAAAGCCTTCCTAGAAGTCTAGTATTGACTACGAAGCCAAAATATGTTGTCTTTACCGTTTCCAAACTCTCTCCTGAGTCCTCCAGCTAGAGGTTGGTGAAGTTGATGGAGAATGCTGGAGAGATATTTAGAGAAGACAATGCCTAAACATCTGGTCTCCAGGAATGGAGTGACAGTGAAGAAGTTGCTGATCTCCTAAAGCCTTCCTAGAAGTCTAATATTGACTATGAAGCCAAAGTATGTTGTTTTTACCGTTTCCAAACTCTCTGGTCTCCTGGAATGGAGTGACAATCTTCCAAAGCCTTCCTAGAAGTCTAGTATTGACTACGAAGCTAAAGTATGTTGTTTTTACCGTTTCCAAACTCTCTCCTGAGTCCTCCAGCTTGAGGTTGGTGAAGCTGATGGAGAATGCTAGAGAGATCTTTAGAGGAGACAAAGCCTAAACTTCCGGTCTCAAGGAATGGAGTGACAGTGAAGAAGTTAGTGATCTCCCAAAGCCTTCCTAGAAGTCTAGTATTGACTACGAAGCCAAAGTATGTTGTTTTTACCGTTTCCAAACTCTCTCCTGAGTCCTCCAGCTTGAGGTTGGTGAAGCTGATGGAGAATGCTAGAGAGATCTTTAGAGGAGACAAAGCCTAAACTTCCGGTCTCAAGGAATGGAGTGACAGTGAAGAAGTTAGTGATCTCCCAAAGCCTTCCTAGAAGTCTAGTATTGACTACGAAGCCGTTTCCAAACTCTCTCTTGAGTCCTCCGGCTTGAAGTTGGTAAAGTTGATGGAGAATGCTAGAGAGATCTTTAGAGGAGACAAAGCCTAAACTTCCAGTCTCAAGGAATGGAGTGACAGTGAAGAAGTTAGTGATCTCCCAAAGCCTTCCTAGAAGTCTAGTATTGACTACGAAGCCGTTTCCAAACTCTCTCTTGAGTCCTCCAGCTTGAGGTTGGTGAAGTTGATGGAGAATGCTGGAGAGATCTTTAGAGGAGGCAATGCCTAAACTTCTGGTCTCCAGGCATGGAGTGACTGTGAAGAAGTTGGTGATCTCCCAAAGCCTTCCTAGAAGCCTAGTATTGACTACTAGTATGCTGCCTTGGCTGTTCCCAAACTCTCTCCTGAGTCCTCCAGCTTTTCTCCTTCTTGGACATCAAGGGAGAAGGAAGGCGAAACTCAATCCATGCCCAAGTGGCGACGCAGAGGAGGCGACCACGGAAGAGTCCACATTTCTCCCTGTTTCAAAGGTGTAGGTCGGCGGTCAAGAGGGGATTTGGAGGGGGAGGGGGACATCTGCCCCCCAGCAGGACATCCGGGAGATGCAGCGTGCAAGGCGAGGAAGAAACGGGGTTCAAAGTTGGAGAAGGTCGGTGCGTAAAAGCGGGAGCCGCTCCGCGCGTAAAGGCGCACGCCCTCTCCAAAAAAAGCCCCCGAGAAGAACGGGAGCCGAGCCTTCGCCGTGGCGCTCTCCAACTTCGGAGTTTCTTCCTTTGGGGAGTCCAAGGAAAACTCCAACTGCCGGATCCGTGGAAAAGAGGGAGGAGGCGGCGGTGGAGGAGGCGGGCGGGATAAACTTTCAGGAGGAGGGAAGCCAGAGCCAATGGAGCCGGGAGGGGAGGGCCGGCCCTTGGACTCCGCCTCCGAGGGAAATAGGGAAGCCTGGGCAGACCTCTCTCTCACGTCTCTCTGCTTGACCCAGTCCAAGCCAGGCGGGACTTCACGGCCAACCATCCAGAAGGGAAGAGCAGGACAAAGGAGGCTTTGCCAAAGTGGATCACGCAAAGTTGCGCATCTTCTGGACCTCCCCTGGATGCATCTGCACTGTAGAATTAATGCTGCTCGACACCACTTGGACTGCCTTGCTATGGAATGCTAGGGGTTGTATTGTCGAAGCTGTCATGGCTGGAATCACTGGGTTGTTGTAGGTTTTTTGGGCTATACGGCCGTGTTCTAGAAGCATTCTCTCCTGATGTTTTGCCTGCATCTGTGACAAGCATCCTCAGAGGTTGTGACCTCACAACCTCTGAGGATGCTTGCCATAGATGCAGGCGAAACATCAAGAGAGAATGCTTCCAGAGCATGACCATACAGCCCAAAAAAAACTACTACAACCCATGCTAACAGTGCTCCATGAAGCCATGCTGGCCACATGACCTTGGATGTGTCTACGGGCAACACTGGTTCTTTGGCTTAGAAATGGAGATGAACACCAACTCCCAGAGTCGGACACGACTGGACTTAATGTCAGAGGCAGGCATGTAGCCAGGGAGGGGGGGGGGGACTTGAGGGGCTTCAGCCCCCCCCCCCCCGAAATTCTCATGGTGGTTCGCGAAAAGGCCTTACTGGTGCATTATTTAAACTGTTATGTTTATTCATATCATGATCTGATCACCATACTCAATATATCCCATATGCATGGGGGGATTGGGGTAATGATACAAAAGGTTTGCTAGGCTAGACCCTCTTTCACTCAGACTCAGCCCCCCCCGAAACTCAGCCCCCCCCAACCCCCCCCCTGAAAAAAATCAGCCCCCCCCAAAAAAAAACCGAAATCCTGGCTACGGGCCTGGTCAGAGGAAAATCTTTACCTTTACCTAACCCATGGTTGGTCCTGAAAAGGTCTGTTGGTTGTTTTCATTGCTTGTTTGCATGCTGCAAGTTGCTTCTGGTCGCTGCTGGAGTGAGAGAATCAGCCGTCTACAAAGATGTTGCCCAGCTATTTCTTGATTTAACGCCTTAAATCAAGAAATAGCTTCCTAAGATCTACAGAAATACTTGCAGGAACACCTCAGCAAGCAAGAGTCCAAAAGTGGCAGGCTAAAACCCGGAACCATGGCTGATACCAAATGAGAGACTCCCTTCTGGGCACACAGAAGACTGGGCAACTTGGAAGGTGCTGAACAGACTGCTCTGGCACCACGAGATGCAGAGCCAAGCCAACCTTAAGAAATGGGGCTACAAAGTGGAATCCACGACATGCGAGTGTGGAGAAGAGCAAACCACTGACCACCTGCTGCGATCCAACCTGAGCCCCACCACATACACAATGGAGGACCTTCTTACAGCAACACCAGAAGCACTCCAAGTGGCCAGATACTGGTCAAAGGACATTTAATCAACTACCAAGCCTGCAAGCTTTGTGTTTTGTTTCTTTGTCTGCTTGTTAAAAAAATGCAATGTAACTGTTTGATCTGCTCCTGACATGATAAATAAAACCTAACCCATGCTAGGAGTTGTCGTTTTGCAAGGCCTTTAGTCAAGGAGTGCTGGAGCCTCACCAAACTCAAATTCTCCTGATTCTATTCCATTGAGTCATGAGGGCTGGTGGGGCCAAACTAAAGTGTAGATGAATTGTCGAAGGCTTTCACGGCCAGAATCACTGGGTTGCTGTGAGTTTTCTGGGCTGTATGGCCATTTTCCAGAAGCATTCTCTCCTGATGTTTAGCCCACTTCTGTGGCAGGCATCCTCTTGGAAAGTAGTGGGGTTTATATATCTATGGAATGTCCAGGGTGGGAGAAAGAACTCTTGTCTCTTGGAGGCAAGTTTGAATGTTGCAGTTGGCCACCTCGATTAGCATTTAATGTTCTAGCAGTTTCAAGGTTTGGCTTCTTACTGCCTGGGGAAATTCTTTGTTGGGAGCTGATTAGCTGGCCCTGATTGTTTCTTGTCTGGAATTCCTATTTCAAACCTTGAAACTACTAGGCCATTAAATGCTAATCACGGTGGTCAATTGAAACATTCATGTCTACCTCAAACAGACAAGAGTTTTTCTGTCACCGTGGATGTTCCACAGATATATAAACCTCACGTGCCTTGCTTCCAACAGACCTCACAACCTCTGAAGAGGCCTGTCATACATGCAGGTGAAATGTTAGGAGAGAATGCTTCTGGAATATAGCCATACAGCCCAGAAAACTCATAGCATAGCAGCCTAACCTTGATACCATTTGAATGGCTATGGTTTCATTCTATGAAGTCCAGGGGTTTGTAGTTCCATGGCATCTCCAGAATTCTCTGCTGGAAGTGGCTACACCAAACTACATATCCTGAAATTCCATAGATCTTACTTATGGCTGTTTCAAGTACCATCTAAGACTTGGAATTCTGTAAACATACAGCCTCACATACAACATACAACTCACAATGACCCAATGAACATATGGTCCACAACCACACCATTACTACACAGTTGCCTCGAAACCACATGGCAACAAGAGTGACTGATCTTGCAAATCCACCTTATAGTGCCAAGGCAACAGGAATGTCGGAGTGGAAATGCTTTCAAGAAAATGAAATGCTTTCAAGAAAATGAAAGCCACAAAAGATTACAACTACCACATCAACTCTAGATTATTTAATATGGTTTTCTGTGGGCGAGCAGATGGTGACTACTGGATGGCATATGTTCTTTGTCAGAAACTAGAGCTGATGTGGTCTATCCAATGCAATTTTTTGAATCAGTTGAGCCCCCGGTGGCGCAGTGGGTTAAAGCACTGAGCTGCTGAGCTTGTTGATCGAAAGGTCACAAGTTCAATTTTGGGGAGTGGCGTGAGCTTCCGCTGTCAGCCCTAGCTTCTGCCAACCTAGCAGTTCGAAAACATGCAAATGTGAGTAGATCAATAGGTACTGCTCCGGCGGGAAGGTAACGGCGCTCCATGCAGTCATGCCGGCCACATGACCTTGGAGGTGTCTACGGACAACGCTGGCTCTTCGGCTTAGAAATGGAGATGAGCACCACACCCCAGAGTCAGACACGACTGGACTTAATGTCAGGGGACTACCTTTACCTTTACCTTACCCCCAAATAATCAAACCAAGTCTAAAGTTGACCAAAAACTGATTTGTTGCCCTTTTGGTACTATAGTTGGAGAGTGGTCCCCGATCAAGAGGTCCCTGGTCAAAAAAAGGTTGGGAACCACTGATCTACGCTGTAGAATGAATGCAGTTCGGCACCACTTGAACTGCCATGGCTCAATACAATGGGATCCTAGGAGTTGTCTTTGGTGAGGCATCAGCAGGGGCGGCTCAACCCATTATGCAAAGTAAGCATTTGCAGTATAGTTGATTTTGCCCAGGGGCGCTCTTGGGAGAAAATAGACCTTGACATATGCAAGTTGTAGTTACTGGGATGTATAGTTCAGCTACAATCAAAGAGCATTCTGAACTCCACCAATGATGGAATTGAACCAGATTTGGCACACAGAACTCCCACGACGAACATATATCAGTGATTGGTTGAGGGGGGGGGGAGCACCAAAATACTGTTTGCTTACCGTTGAAAATTACCTAGGGCCGCCTCTGGACACCAGGGCCCTTTGGCAGAATAAGGCTAAACACCTTGTAAAACTACAACTCCTAGGATTCCATAGCATCGAGCCATGGCAGTTTTAGTAATGTCAAACTGCATTAATTCTGGGAAGTAGATGCACCCAAGGCCATGAAAGCTCTCTGGGACAATTCATAGAAACCTAGAGTTGGAAGAGACCTCATGGGCCACCCAGTCCAACCCTCTTTGGAGGCCTTTAAACAGGGGTTGGATGGGAATCTGTGAAGTATGCTTGGATCATAGAATTCTAGAGTTGGAAGAGACCTGGTGGGCCATCCAGTCCAACTCCATTCTGCCAGGAAGCAGGAAAATCACATTCAAAGCACCCCTGGCAGATGGCCATCCAGCCTCTGCTTAAAAGCCTCCAAAGAAGGAGCCTTGCTCTCTTTCTCAGCTGGACCTACCTCCAGGGCTGTTGTTATGAGCATTGTTGTTGTTCATTCGTTCAGTCGTCTCCGACTCTTCGTGACCTCATGGACCAGCCCACGCCAGAGCTCCCTGTCGGCCGTCACCACCCCCAGCTCCTTCAAGGTCAGTCCAGTCACTTCAAGGATGCCATCCATCCATCTTGCCCTTGGTCGGCCCCTCTTCCTTTTGCCTCCCACTTTCCCCAGCATAATTGTCTTCTCTAGGCTTTCCTGTCTCCTCATGATGTGGCCAAAGGACTTCAACTTTGTCTCTAGTATCCTTCCCTCCAATGAGCAGTCGGGCTTTATTTCCTGGAGGATGGACTGGTTGGATCTTCTCGCAGTCCAAGGCACTCTCAGCACTTTCCTCCAACACCACAGCTCAAAAGCATCTATCTTCCTTCGCTCAGCCTTCCCTAAGGTCCAGCTCTCACATCCGTAGGTTACTACAGGGAATACCATGGCTTTGACTAGGCGGATCTTTGTTGCCAGTCTGATGTCTCTACTCTTTACTATTTTATCGAGACTGGACATTGCTCTCCTCCCAAGAAGGAAGCGTCTTCTGATTTCCTGGCCACAGTCTGCATCTGCAGTCATCTTTGCACCTAGAAATACAAAGTCTGTCACGGCCTCCACATTTCTCCCTCTATTTTCCAGTTGTCAATCATTCTTGTTGCCATAATCTTGGTTTTTTTGATGTTTAGCTGCAACTCGGCTTTTGCGCTTTCTTCTTTCACCTTGATTAGAAGGCTCCTCAGCTCCTCCTCGCTTTCGGCCATCAGAGTGGTGTCATCTGCATATCTGAGGTTGTTAATGT